CGTGGCTGTGGTGTAGAGCATGTTCTTCACATCCTCTCCTGTCCTGACTGGGCCAAGGCCTACCACATGGCCAATTTCCTGCTTGATCTGTTCAAAGGCTTGCTGTTTCTCAGGGCTCCACTTGAAGTCATTTTTCTTTCATGTCACAAGGTAGAGAAGACTTACAATCTGGATGTACTTGGGGATGTGCATCTTCCAAAAACCCATGGTGCCTAGTAAAGCTTGTGTTTCTTTCTTGATGATCAGAGGGACATAGCATCTATTCTACTGATAACCTTGGTTGGAATCTGGGCATCTGTCTTGCCACTTAACTCCTAGGAACTTAATTTCCTGATCAGGTCCCTTTACTTTGTTTGATGGCAAAACTACCTTTCAGGAAAATCTGGACTATTTTATCCCCTTTCTCAAAAACTTCCTCTCCTGTCCTGCCCCACACGATGATGTCATCGATGTACTGCAAGTATTCTGGAGCCTCGCCCTTTTCCAGTGCAGTCTGGGAGAAAGTTGGGAAAAAGTTCTATATCTTGCAATCTGAGGGGAATTTTCAGGTTGGGAAATTTTATCCAAATTTTCTCTATTTATGAAGTGGTTGAGAGTTTGGGGGGGAATTCAAGGAATGTTGAGTTCAGTACTCCAATTATTACCCCAGCTGTTTTGTCCCTCCCCCCATGTCCCTGTTCCTTCGCCACTCAGGACAGGTCTGGAGATGGAAACCGCCTAAAGGCGCAGGAGAGCTACCTGCCTTCTGCTGTCTCTGGTTCTCTCCTGTCCCCTTCTCAGGATGACATTGGCCATGCCACCCAGGGCTCCAACCTAACCCTCTTTCCTATGCCCATGTGCCCAATTCCCCCATTCAGTTCTATGGCTCAAAATGGCACCAGCCTCATGGGTGGACCCTCCATTTTGAATGATCTGGTGCGAAATTTCCTGCCGTAGCCACACAAAATGGCGCCTGTGATCCTCCTCCTCCTCCCTTCCCCTCTCCTGCCCCCGTGTCGGGCTTCACTTCCACATCGGGCTTTGCCCTCCCATCAGGACCTTTCTGCTTCCATTGGGAAGCCCTGCCCTTGTGCAGCCCCTGCCCCCTCCAACCTGGCCGCTCCTGGTTCCCACGCTTCCACTTTGGGAACCGGAAGTGAAGCTGACCAGAAGGTAGCCATCTTGGATACCAAAGACCCCAAGCCCCAGGGCTTGCCAGTCAGCCGGGGCTCTCATGGCCATGCCAGCACATCTCCCTCCTCAGAGAAGGGCAGTGATTCCTCAGATTCAGATACTGATTCTGGAGATCACTGGGCAGAGGTATGAAAGCAAGCAGCTCGGGAGGGTGATTGGGATATAGCTAGAAAGCTGCAAATCCCAGCAGCCCCAGTTATATTTAAAAGAGGGAGGAACACTAAGTGAGAGTCAATTCCATATGGGGAACTTAAGGAATTATGTAAAGATTATGGGAGGAAATCACCCTAATTTAAAAACCTTTTACGAGTGACTTTCTCAGGCCATGCCCTTGTGCCACACGACCTTCAGCACATTACGTCCCTCCTCCTCTCACCCAAAGAGATTTTTCTGTGGGAATATATTTGGAAAAAACAACTAAAATCATTATTAAATAATTACAAAGGTGAGGATGGACAGACCCATTTGACTTTAGTGAAATTAAATGGAGATGACAATTTCAAAAACAAGCATGAGCAGGCACAATTTATCCCCAGAACTGTTTTAGAGGACATTAAAAATTCTGCCCAGAATGCTTTATTTCAAACACCAGATGGCACCACCCCACAACAAATTTTATCTGACATTCACCAGAGCATTGATGAGACATTTATTAAATTCATAGATAGACTAAAAGACACTATTGATAAGCAAATAGATTGCCCAAGGGCTGGAGAGGAGCTGCTCAGCAAGCTAGCAGTGTCCAACGCGAATGCAGAATGCAAGAAAATTATAAGAGCGCTCCCTTCAGACCCTGAACCCACCATTCAGCAAATGGAGGAAGCCTGTACCTGTCTGTCCTGGTTTAGGGAAAATTTGGGAGAAAACCTCCAAAAGGGGGCCCCTTCAGAAAGCAAACCCACACGGCCCCTCCCCCCAATCGGTTTGGGAAGGATTCCTCCGAGAGAAGTGGAAAGAATCTGTGTATTTAACAGGCACAGCACCCCCCAGCACACAAAATGAACAATACTGGATGATACCACTCTTTCACTGCTCTGAAAAAGGTGACAAATTCAGAAAGTCTCTCTCGGGGATGGTCGCTCTGTGTGCTGGTTTGACCGGAAAATGGGAATTCTGGGATGCTGTAGTCAAACCAATGGGGGCTCAGATTTTAATATTGGCACCTGATGTATCCACTGACGTTCGGACACACCTCCAAGAACACACAGGGGTTAAAAACCAGAGTTGCTCCCCCAGTAAGCTCTCTTGGGACTTCGAGGGAAAGAGGTCGGATCTCCCTCCCCCATTCAGCTGCTGCTGCTGGGCGGGGGAGGGGCAGCCCTGCGGTAGGCCTGGGCCTGGACAGAGATGGGGGTGAAGAGGCCCTTGAGGATGGCAGGGTGGAGGAGCACCAAGAGACATCAGACAGCCACCCCCTCACCCCTCCAGTCCCCAGGGGAGAGGAGAGAGAGAGAGGGAGAGCCGGCATCTGAATTTGATAGCGGCCGGCCCAGGAGGAGAAGGAGGGAAAGTGCAGCGAGAAGGTGCCTGGCAGGGCAGTGTGGGAGTTCCGGAGCTCTGGGACAGGCAGAGACTGAAAATTTTAACCCTTTTCTTGCATGATTGAGACCTTGCAAATGCTGATCCTCCTAGAGCTGAATGAGAAGAGAGATAAGAGATGAGATAAGAAGGGATGGGCCACAAGGGAAGAGGAAAAGACTCGAGTGGGGGAGAGATGATGGAGTGGCCTTTTGGCTGGACTTTTCTTGTGTGGCCATAGACTGAACCATTTTTTTCCTGTGACACAGAGACTGCATTTAGCGGGAGGCAGTGCCTCAGAACCGGGAGGGTTCAGTGTGGGTACCTCTCGGCCCCAGGGGGTGAAAAATTTGGGGGGGACAGATGTCCCAAAGGAGAGACTGTGCCTTTTTTGGAGTGAGACAAGGCATTCTTGAAAGACAACCCTAAAAGCAGCTCTGGTCCATGCACAGTGGTGAGACCACTGGGCATGGAAGGAAGGTGTCACGATGGCAAAAGACTTTCCGGGTGGTGCTGAGTGACATGGAAACACACGAGGTTTCAACGTGTTTCCAGGGGAAGCCTATGATGCAAGAAGGACTCCTCTCCTCTTCATGAACTGAAGATTGAGTATTTTAAAGGGTGGTGCCGGACTGAGGGTTGGTGATTTGGGGGAATGTATTGCATTGGGAAATTTGGTGGGGGGGGGAGGAGGAAGGTGCTTTTGTAAGGTTTTCTTTTTTTTCTTTTTCCTTATAGTTTTTTTTCCTCTTCTTTTCTTGTAGTCTAGTTAATAAAGTTTTCTTTATTTCTAAGCTGGAGCCTGCTTTGCTTATTCCTGGTCACATCTCACAGCAGACACCAGGGAGAGGGTATTCTCATGGAGGCACTGGCTTTGTGCCAGGGCTAAACCATGACACTCCTGCATCCTCCTGTAGTACCCACCAGCTCAGCACATTAGCTGAGCCTTTGGGTGAAGAGCAAGGGACCTTCTACCCCCAGGGTAAACATCTGGTCCTCTTATCACCCTTAGCAACCCAAGGAGGTTCAATGGAAGTGGCTAGCTTCACAGCTGAATATCAAGCAGCCAGCTGGAACATGGATGAGGTTTTGATGGTGAATATTTCTGAGCAGATCAAAACTATAATAAATTAGGTCCACAATTTCTTTTGGCACCTTCAAAGGTTCATCTGAAGCAGCATTTCCATACAGCATGCACCTTCCTACACAACAAGATCTTGTCTTTGTCAGACACAGGTGTTGGTATAGATATTCCCAGCATCCTTGCGTCCAGACCCATGGCAGGGAGGGCATGCATGAGCCCCCATCCCACAGCCAAGCAGTTTCCATCACGTCTCTGTGCAGGAAGAAATTGTACCCAAAATTAAAGTTGCAATAGGCACTGCTCTGACTGACACAGCCTCTTGTACACCTTGCAAGAGGCTCCCAGGTTTCTTTTCATGGATCCCACTTGTGGGACTGAAGCCTGGAGGACATCAAGCAAGACAAGAGCACCAAAATCACCAGCCTGAAGCCCCTTCTCCAGGTGGCATATATATCAGCCACAGCTACTGCAAATGCCACTTCACCCTTTCCTCAGCCACCTCAGTCTCAAATCTCCTCAGGCAAACACTGTTCTTACAGTCGATAGTCTCATGGTGGCACAGTAGCTCCTTAACCAGATGACAATGGTCAGAGCCATTCCTCTACCCTACCCAACCCTCTCCCATGCTAGTGCTCACGCAGAGGAGAGACAGCCACCTCCAACAGCACTTGGTAAATACTGTTCACTGACGTTCACACCATGTACAACCACCCAAATCAACTTACACCTGGCTTCTGTCATTGTACACCAAACAGGTTCTTGACACATACAATTTTGCTTTTCCCAATTCACTCCCTCAGCTATTTAATCCTCTTCCCTATAACATCATCCTTGTGTTGTGACATATAACCAAGAAGCACAGCTACACAAAGATCACTCATCCCAGCTACATCTCATACTTTCAAGTCAGCTTTGATGCTCCAAATAGGTTGCTTTCACAGGTGGCCACAAGAAGCTCTTCAGCAATAAATGAGACACTCCATATTTTTTCCCTTTTATAACAGAGCAATAAGCTCCTGGTCAAAAAATCCATCCTCACATTGGGATGTTGCTCATCTTCCATGGTTTGGGTGGGAATGAGCTTTCAGATGCCAAACAGAGGGACACATCTCCCTGCCATGGGAAAGGGAAAGTTGGCAGCATGGGCAGGCTTCATGCTGATGCATGAGACAGTACAAGAACAAAAGAAAAGGTTTGGTGAGGAAGAGCTAAACACAACTCCTACCTGACTGTGTTCATGAGATGATGAGCCCTTCCCTTGGGATAGGGAACAGCTGCCATCAAGCTGCTCACTACAACACGCTGTCCACTGTAATAGGGATAAAAAAAGGCATTGTATAAAATAATAGTCAGGAGAAAACTGCTGTGTCTGTCCACAGCACACAGCAAACACCATCTGGCTGCAGGCATCACAGTACATGTGCAACACTCCCTCATTTTAGAGGATCATCCCACAGGCTTTGGCTAGGAAACACTCCACCTGCTGATGGCAAACAGAGGGAAGATGCAGGAACGATTACAGGAAGGCACCTGAAATTATGCTTTGCAATAAAATCCATCCCCACTATTTCCTAGCAGACTCCATCAGTGTTTGGTATCTCAGGCATGTGGTATGCACCAAGGTGACTTGACTTGATAACTCTTTTCTATGGAGTCTTCCACGGAAAGTTGGGAAATTTCTGCTTTTCCCAACTCCATTCACTTCAGGGACAGATATGAGCCTTGAGCTTCTAGAAAAACTATGGTTTTATTTTAAATAAAACAAAAAATGTGGCAACTGTGACGTGCCACTGGATGACAGCACTACTCTCACACCGGCTTTGCCCCATGGTGAAGGACGTGGACATCAGGAGACTTCCCGGCCATGGGGGACCATGAGCTGCTTTGGTCAGCTTCCCCCAAGGTGCCTCCACAAAAATAATTCAGTTTGGGGTAATTTGTTTTGTTGGGGTTTTTCCCTCGAAGAAAGGAAGGGCTGCATCATAGTGAGGAAAACATAATATTTTTTAAAAGCATTTTTCATTAAACAAATATAAAGGATGCTGCCTAATTCTAAAGTCATTTTGTCACCCCTACCTGTTGAAGTGAAGGGAGATGACCATCCGATTGATGAACATCGAACTCCGATTTATTGATCAAACCAGCCACTTTTATAATAGTGTTAATGAACTTCATGCATATTGCAAAATCCAAGCTCACGATAGGTTAACAGAGAAAACTCTAACCCCTCCTTTTGTTTTACAATACCTATGATTTGTTTATTGAAAACAGGACAGCGTTCTCACTGTGATATGAAAAGTTCTCAAAACAGCTATCTATTCCCAGAGAACCCAAGGACAGAATGTTTTGCCTGTTATGGGAAGACTGTCTGAGAATCTTATTGTTTATAAAGTGGTGCTTGAGAGAGCCTAATATTAAAGAATCAAGCCTGGGAAATGCTTCACAACTACCTTTTTTACTTTTCCCTCAGCTGTATACCTTCATGGCTCTCCACACCTACCAACAAAGCTGAGACTGAACCTCGGTGACCATCCCCATTTCTGAGGTCTTTCATCCTGGAAATGTTTGGCTGCTCCAGAGAGACTCACTGCTTGGATGTCATCACCAAGGCCGACGAGTCGAGAAAATGAAAAGTCAATTTCATACAAGCAGCAACCACCTGAGAGCTCTTTGACAGGTATGGATGAGGCCACAAAATAAGAGGAAGAGCCACCAATAGAACTACCCATAATCCCTACACAGCTCTGCCCTTATTGGTTCTAGCTCACAGATGGAGGACCTCAGCCTCTCATTAAAGAGCTGCTCATCACTCTCCTGCTACCTCTGCTGACCTACCTGGAGAAGCTCATGATACTATCATGCTTGAGAGCCTTCTACTACACCTATCCCCATCTCCTTTAACAGTTTGGAGTGCAACCACATGCCTGGAAAGTTTTCCCAAGGTACAGCTCAACTATTATTATGTCTGCAGACAAAAGAAAATTACATTTTCCCTCTGACTTTCCTCTCTTTCCTGGTGGGAGCAAGGTTGGAGACATCCCCACCATGGGAACATCCACACCTTGGAATTTTCTAGACTGGTGATGGATTCAGCCCTGCTGTGAGCGGTATGGAGGATGAAGCAGCATACAGTGTGCCTTCCATTCCTTCCCCCAGCACAGAGAGGCTATCAGGGGATGTGGTACCATCTGAGCATCTCACACACATGGGTAAGTGTATTTATCCTCCCTCAGACAGGAAAAACCATTTTACAGCCAGAAGGAAAAGAACTGCAGAGAGATTAAGCAACTTGCCCAACATTAAAGATTAAGTTGCCAGCAGAAACTCACAGTTAAAAACAATTTTCTTGGTCTCAGTCCAGTGCCTTCCCTCTAAACCCATTCTTTTTCCTCTGGCTCTCATTAAGAGAGAACATGCCACTTTCAATCAGGCTGGCTTCCACCAGGGTTACTCCAGCAAGCTTCAGGATATAAGAGTGCTTATTCCTTGATTTGCTAAGAAGTGATCAGGAAGACAAAATCAGAAATTAAAATTCCTGATTATTTCTTATCCAAATTTGGGATATGAGGTGGAAAAAAATATCTTTGGGAGATGAGAATTCATTCTTAATGCATCCTTTAAGGCAGTAAACTGTAGTGACTGCAGAGACTTCACGGTTGCATGAAGCATGTTGAGGACAATTGAGTCTGTAGGATGGTCTTCTTGTGTGAAGATTGAATTTAACTTGGATCAATCAATTGGTCAAGTACTTATGTCCTGAAAGACTTCATGTATTCATAGAATCATAGAATCCTAGAATGGCCTGGGTTGGAAGGCACCTTCAAAGCTCATCTAGTTCCAACTCCCTTGCCATGGGCAGGGACACCTTCAACTAGACCAGGTTGCTCAAAGCCCCATCCAACCTGACCTTGAACATTTCCAATGATGCATCTTGAGACCATAAAACCTAAAATTCAGTTGGCAGGAGACCTCTACCAGCTGGTTAGAGACCTCATATATAGCTGTGCAAGCAAGCTGCCCCAAATCTTGTGTTTTACTACATCCTGCTTAAGCTGGATGTGCATCCCCAATCCAGGCTGTAAGCCACCAGCATTTGACAGCCCCTCTCCCATCCCACAATGTGCCCTTTGTCCACCTACCTGTGAGATGTGGGACTGCGTCTTCTGGCTCTCACCATCCCCCTCCATTTTATCCATCAGCAGCCCCTGGACCTGGTACTCCAGGACATAACTGTCAATGAAACGCTCCAGCTCCTCGATCTCTTGAGAGTGGCTGCTCCCTGCCTCTGAGGAGGCTGATGCCACTAACGAGTTCTCCATCCCTTCAGGAGAGATGTCAAGAACAGAGGGGGCCTGAGAGAGCAAAATAAAAAGGAGCAAGAAATTATTTTCCACTAATTATAAAAAGATTAAAAAAACAGGAGCTGAAGCTTATTGGTTTCCAGGGACAGGATATTTTTCGCTGTACATCTACATTTCCAGTAATATTTATAATAATCCTAGGTGGTCATATTTAGCGTTTTCATGTGTGCAAAAAAAAAAGTGATTTCTGTAATATTCCTACATCTAAGGACAACAGACAGTTTTCCTGTCCTCCTTAAAACCTAAACTACTGAAAACCTCCAGAAATGCACAAGAGGAGAACAAAATTAAAAAACGTAATTTGAAAAGTCCACATCATCAGCTGTGCTGGATAAGGGTGAGTAGCTGGGGATACTGGGCAAGGATGTGAGGAAGAGGATGATAACTGAAAAGCTTCTCTAGGACAGTGGCAGTAAATGGTGCTGAGTCAATGATGTGACTGCAAATGGTCAAGAGAGGAGGTTTGCACATGGAGGTGAAACAGACATCCCACTAGAATTGATTTTTAAAACCTCTCTTTCTTCAGGACAGTGGCTCTATAGAAGATATACAGGCTTTATGATGCTCTTCTCCTTCCTTTTTTGTAGGAATGTGCCCCCTGTTGACAGAGTGACCAAATTATTCTTTGCTTAAAAAGGCAAAAAACCCAGAAGCTTCTCTCCCAATTTGGTACAAAAGATACCTCATAGGACCTTTGGGACTTCACCTCAGACCTGAGGCTGTCTGATTGGACAGAGGCCAAGAGGTCCTGCCTAGGTAATTCACTAGAAAAGGAAGAGAACAAAGGAAATAACTGTTTTTGTGGGATGTTTTAGCAGAAGCAAGAACCTCTTGTCCCTGGCTCAGTTTTTCTCTGTAAGAGCTTTGTTATTTTGCCTTTTATTAAACTTTTTTCTGTTTCCAACACTACTTCAGAAGACATCCTGCTAATTTTATGCTGTTTGGGGTGGCTGAGCTATCTTGGGTGTGATGGGTTTCTCTGAGAGCTCATACGACCTGGCTTGAAGAGTAACACATCACTATTTCTCCATGGCTCAACAGGTATGAGGCTCTGGAACTAGAAGGCCGGACAACTGATGAGGTGGGTCTTTCTGGGATCATGGGACATCTTAAAACAACACCACCTCTACCCCGCATCAAGACCTCCTCTGTTAGGAGGAAAAAAAGAGTAATTGAAGACTCCTTTTTAAGGGGAACGGATGGCCTAATATACAGACCAGACACAACTCACAGAAGTTTGCTGTCTCCCAGGGGCTCACATAAGGGACACCACTGGAAAACTCTCCAGTCTGGTAAGTCCTTCTGATTGTTATCTGCTGTTGGTTGTTCAAACTGGCAGTGGTGAAATAACAAAGAGAAGTCCAAGTACAATCAAAAGAGACTTCAGGGCCCTGGGACAATTGGCAGAGGGATCAGGAGCACAGGTAGTGATTTCCTCAATTCTTCCAGTAACAACAAATAGTATTGATAGGATTAGGCAGATTCATCAGGACGATGCATAGCTCCGAGATTGGTGTCAGGGGAAAAAATTTGGGTTTGTTGATGCCATGGTTGGACCTGGCACAATGCCAGTGCCTCCATGAGAACACCCTCTCCCTGGTGTCTGCTGTGAGATGTGACCAGGAATAAGCAAAGCAGGCTCCTGCTTAGAAATAAAGAAAACTTTATTAACTAGACTACAAGAAAAGACAAAAAAAAAAAAAAACACAAGGAAAATGAAAACCTTACAAAAGCATTTTCCTCTTCCCTCCCCACCAAATTTCCCAATGCAATACATTCCCCCAAATCACCAACCCTCAGTCCAGCACCACCCTTTAAAATACTTAATCTTCAGTTCATGAAGAGGAGAGGAGTCCTTCTTGCACCATAGGCTTCCCCTGGAAACACGTTGAAACCTTGTGTGTTTCCATGTCACTCAGCACCGCCCGGAAATCCTTTGCCATCGTGACACCTTCCTTCCATGCCCAGTGCTCTCACCACTGTGCATGGACCAGAGCTGCTTCTAGGGTTGTCTTTCAAGGATGCCTTGTCTCACTCCAAAAAAGGCACAGTCTCTCCTTTGGGACATCTGTCCCCCCCAAATTTTTCACCCCCTGGGGCCGAGAGGTACCCACACTGAACCCTCCCGGTTCTGAGGCACTGCCTCCCCCTAAATGCAGTCTCTGTGTCACAGGAAAAAAATGGTTCCGTCTATGGCCACACAAGAAAAGTCCAGCCAAAAGGCCACTCCATCATCTCTCCCCCACTCGAGTCTTTTCCTCTTCCCTTGTGGCCCATCCCTTCTTATCTCATCTCTTATCTCTCTTCTCATTCAGCTCTAGGAGGATCAACATTTGCAAGGTCTCAATCATGCAAGAAAAGGGTTAAAATTTTCAGTCTCTGCCTGTCCCAGAGCTCCGGAACTCCCACACTGCCCTGCCAGGCACCTTCTCGCTGCACTTTCCCTCCTTCTCCTCCTGGGCCGGCCGCTATCAAATTCAGATGCCGGCTCTCCCTCTCTCTCTCCTGGGGAAGGGGGGGGGGGGGTGACTGCCCGATGTCTCTTGGTGCTCCTCCACCCTTCCATCCTCAAGGGCCTCTTCACCCCCCATCTCTGTCCAGGCCCAGGCCTACCACATGGCTGCCCCTCCCCCTGCCCAGCAGCAGCAGCTGAACGGGGGAGGGAGATCCGACCGCTTTCCCGACGAAGACCAAAGACAGCTTCCCAGGGGTGCAGCTCTGGTTTTTAACCCCTGTGTGTTCTCAGAGGTGTGTCCGAACCCCACTGGCAACATCAGGTGCCAATATCAAAATCTGAGCACCCATTGGTTTGACCACAGCATCTCAGAATTCCCATTTCCTGGTCAAACCAGCACAGTTGACTATGGGATGAATTACTCAACACTTGGTCTACTGACGCCTGACAGGATGCGCCTATCTCAGAGGGGCAAGAGAGTTCTAGCACAAGAGCTAGTGGGGCTTGTTGATAGAGTTTTAAACTAGCTTGGAAGGGGGAGAGGGATAAAACCAGGCTTGCTAGTGATGAGTGATGGGATGGTGTGCAAAAACTTGAGGAAAGGAGCACTAATGAGATCCCTCAATCTACTTCACAAGGTGTTGGATACAATGTACCACACCTGAAATGTTTTGACACTAACGCATGCAGCATGAGGAACAAGCAAGAGGAGCTGTAGGCTTTGGCCCAGTCCCAGAGATTTGACATCATTGGCATAAGTGAAACCTGGTGGGATGAGTCCTGTGACTGGAGTGCCCTGCTGGATGGTTCCAGACTATTCAGGAGGGATAGGCAGGGCAGAAGAGGCAGACAGGTGGCACTGTATGTAATAGAAGGGTATGTATGGAGCTCCCAGTTGGCAATAGCACAGTTGAGAACTCCCAGGTAAGAATAAAGGGGCAAACAAATAATGTGGCTGTCATTGTGGGAGTCTACTATAGATCTCCAAGACGGGACAATGACACTGACAAATTATTTTTTGAGGAACTAAGGGATGCTTCCAAGTAAACTGCCCTTGTCCTTAGGGAGGACTTCAGCCTGCCAGAAGTTAACTGGGAGCATCACACAGCTGGTAAAACCTGGGCCAGAAGGTTCCTAAAAAACCTGGATGAAAACTTTATGGAACAGGTCCTAAGGGAGCTGACTTGGAAAGATGACCTCCGTGATCTACTGATTGTCAACAGAGTGGAGATTGGCAGCTGTTTTGGCCACAGCGACCACAAAGTGATTGAGTCTAAAACCTCTGTTGACAGAAGGAAAAGTGCCAGCAAAACCTCATCCCCAGAAATGAGGAAAGCACACTTCAGGCTGCTCAGGGAATTAGTAGGTAAGGTCCCCATGGAAAATGTTTTTGCAGGTGCTGGGGTCCATCAGTGCTGGTCACTTTTTAAACATCACCTCCTAAGGGCCCAGGATCAGGCAATTCCCAAATGTCAGAAGTCAAGCAGGTGAGGCAGAAGGCTGGCTTGGCTGAACAGGGTCCTTCCCTCAGAAATAAGGCAAAAATGGAAGGTGTATGCCCAGTGGAAGAAAGGTCATGTGACATGGGAAAAATACAGAAATGCTGCTCACCACTGTAGGGAGAAACTTTGTGTGGCCAAAACCCAACTGGAGTTGAAGGTGCAAGAACTGTGGGGGGCAATAAAAAGAGTTTTTTCAAATTAATTAATGGCAAAATGCAGTGTAAAAAAACCATCAGCCCATTACAGGAGGAGGATGGTCACCTCACAAACAGGGACAGAGACAAGGCAGAGGTATTTAATGCATTCTTTGCCTCTGTCTTAAACACAGGTGATGGACCAAGGGGGTCTCAGTGCCCAGAGCTGGAGGACCATGAATGCAAGAATGGTCAACTCCCAGCCAAACCTGAAATTGTGTGGAATCTGCTGCTCCAGCTGGATCCCTACAAATCTATGTGGCCTGATGGGATTCATCTGAGAATAGTCAAAGAAATGGCTGATGTAATTGCAAAACCTCTCTCAATGATCTTTGAGCGGTCTTGGGAATCTGGAAAGATCCCAGCTGACTGGAAGCTAGTGAACATTGTCCCGATTTTCAAGAAGGGCAAGAAGGAGGCCCCTGGAAATTATAGTCCTGTCAGTTTCACTTCAGTGCCTGGTAAAGTTATTGAGAAGATTATACTAGGAGGTATTGAAAAACACACGAAAGTCAACACAGTCATTGGTCACAGCCAGCATGGCTTCATGAGAGGGAAGTCCTGCTTATCAAACCTGATTTCCTTTTATTACAAGGTAACCCATGTAGTTGATCAAGGGAAGCCTGTTGATGTAATCTTTTTGGATTTCAGTAATGCTTTTGATACTGCCTCTCACAGTATCCTTCTGGACAAAATGTCCAGCACACAGCTGGATAAACACATAATGTGATGGATGAGCAACTGGCTCATGGGTCAGGCACAAAGGATTACAGAGAATGGGGTGACGTCAGACTGGCAACCTGTCAC